CAGTCAGGAGTGAGGGGGTTAGGGAAGCTTTTCCAGGCAGTTTTTAGGTCCTAGCTGTGGCCTGACCAAATGGGTTTGGTTGTCAGTTGAGGACCTAAGCTAGGAGGAAATGGACAGGTGGAAACGTTAGCTACAGGAAAGGCGTCTAGAAGTCAGCCATATTTGAGACTCGCCATTCCTCACCTGAAGGTGACAAGCCAAAGTACAAAAGATGGCTTCTACTTTTCCTCTCCTGGGATTTTTAACTCTATTTCTCTTCTTGATTTTTGTCGTGGGGGGGAAGGGGGAGAGAAAGGATCCCAGTAACTGGCTAGCTAACTGGCTAGCTTAGGAAGGACATTGAGGGCGTGGGTATGATGGGTGTGACTTGAAGTCCGTGTTGGTTTGAAGTGCAGCGGACTGAACCCAAGGCCTTGTGCATGGCGGGTGTGTGCTCTACCACCGAGCTAAAGCTTCAAGCTAAAAGAATATTAATTTTGAGATAGAGTCTTGCTAAGTTACTCAAGGATGGCCTTGAGCTGTCTCTGTGGTCTAGGCCGGCCTTGAACTTGACATTCTGTCTCCGTCTCCCAGGAAACTGGGATCCAAGGCTGGTGGATCAGGCCTTTCGGAAAGCACCATTTATTTCTCTCTTTGAACTTGATGAGCTAAGAGTTCACTGAGCCTTACTCACCACAAATACTCAGGGGGTTGTCGCCTATGACGGGACAAGGTCCTCAGATGGCATCGAAGACATTTAAATTTGTAGCTGGCAAGTGACCTCAAAGATAGACCTAACATACTTTCGCTTTCAGGTAGCCAGATGTAATTTTCCCAGAGGCCTTTGAGGCCACACCTCAGCATCACTTATGATCTTAGCATCCCCAGCTGCAAAATCTGGAAAGCCCCAGGTGAGGCTGAGAAGGAGGAGGACTGAAGACGTTTTAGTAGTAGATGATCCACTTATTTCTGCTCAGTTTTTCTGCTGTCAATTCTCCCACTTTTTTCCCTTCCCATAGCCCCCCCCCCAATCTCTTGTCAGCTCTGACCGCAGTGCCTCTGCTTGAGAGAGTGTGCATCGGACCGCGACCGGTAGAGCCCACGGTATCGTTCTCAGTGTGAAAAGCCTACACATGGGTAGTGGAAACAGTCAGCCTTCCCATTTATCATTAGACCCAACGCTTCACGAGCGCCAGAGACGTACATTTATTTTAATCTTAAATCTCCAGTTTAATTCTTGTATGTGGGAAAGCCAGCAATAGGAGAGCAGTGCGATTGAGAGATACATTTCAATTAATTCTCCCACCAATGCCATATCTCTTCTGCATCAGAACCTTTTATAGTGTTAAAATGAACAGTTATGCAGCTGATGGCTGGCTAAATCCACCAAGGGGCCGAAGAGAGCCTCAGATAACATGACGTGTATAAATCATTCAAGAGGACAATTCAAGGAAGGAAAGCTATCTGTGTCAGGGATGACATTGGAAGAACCAAATAGGAGTCAATGAGAAGAAGGGACATTTAGGGCCATTGTCCATCTCACTTTTATTTTCCTTTAAAAAGAATTGTGTTATAATATCCATTTTTAAAATTAATTATCCATTAGCTGCAAGATAAAAAGTCTCTTCTTGTGCTAATGAAACAGTGGCCTTGGTGGAGAAAGACTCTTCACACGGGAGTGCTACTGGAGAGAGCTGTCCCCAGATGAGCTGGAATGGCTCTTTGTAGAAGCGCGGGGAGTGACAGGCAAGCCTGTATGGACCACCTGCTGATGTCAGTCCACTCCTCAGTTGCAGAAGCAGAGGATGGAGGTCAAGAATTCTGTCTCAAGGCCCCACCAATGGCAAAGTAGTAAGAAGTCCGGAAGGATGTCCCACCAATGCTGACTCCTGGAGTCCAGAAGGATGTCCCACCAATGCTGACTCCTGAAGTCCGGAAAGGTGTCCCACCAATGCTGACTCCTGAAGTCCTGAAGGATGTCCCACCAATGCTGACTCCTGAAGTACAGAAGGATGTCCCACCAATGCTGACTCCTGGAGTCCAGAAGGATGTCCCACAATGCTAACTCCTGAAGTCCGGAAAGATGTCCCACCAATGCTGGCTGATGCAGAACATTGGGCACTGTTTCCAGGCTGCCTCCACTATCTGCACCCAAACCTTATAGAAGCCTCCTTATTGGTGGTTTCATTCCTCAGTCTTCAGGCACCAAGAAAGGAACCTTTCTAGGAGCATTGTTTTTTAATAAATATGTCACTCCTGATGTAGGCAACACACTCAGGCTAGCACACACTCTGGAAACATCCGAGTTGAACAAGACTGACTGCCAACTACTGTGGTCTCACAAACTACATATATCTAGATCATTTGCATAAATTTATTCTCAATATATTGCATTTCATCTAAAGAGTCACATGGGTGTGACTTTATTTTGTCTTTCATGGCTGTAGGCTTTGAATTGAAATTTCACTCACAGTTTACAGGAATATTTGACTTGTTTGTTCTATGTATGGAATAGTACAAGCTAAAAATCTGCCATATAATTTTCATTTCTTTAAAATAATTCATTCCTGCCCCCCCCACCTTGCACACTCTGCCACCAGCATGTAGAAGAGATAAAAATCAAGAAAGAAGAAAAATGGCGGGGTTTTTTTGACATGGTTCAATAACTGCATCACACTGTAGTGAACTTATTACCATTCATAAGTCTTTAGTGAAGTATGGGTTGTATTGTCCTCACTGTTACTTGAATGCAAAACACGTGGATAACGTGGATAAAAGCTGTTTTCTTTGTGTCGCTCACGAAGCTGTGTCTAAGCACTTTCGGGACACCACACAGTGTCTCATTGTTTGCTTTGCTAAGCACATTAATTGTGATTTTGTTTTGATGCTTCATTCTCTGGGAAGATGTAAACATTTACCAGCCAATATTGGTAATCAATATTGACGCAGAGGCATCATTGATCTGCGTAAACACACTTATTAAAATGTGGAAAATTGTGACGTGCCTAATACGCAGACCTAACCATTCTGGAGAAGACGCTACGAAGATGTTGACAGCCTGCCCCTAGGCAATCAGCTAGGACACAGGAGGATGAATCCACAGGTGTTCTATGGTGAAATCCACTGCTTGAGCTGGTGAGACGGAGCAGTAGTAATGTCACTTGCTGCCAAGCCTGGCCACTCGACTTTAACCCCTGGGATCAAATGGAGGAAGAGAGAAGCATTTCCCACAGGTTGTCCTCTGAGTGCAAGTAGACACATAAACACACAAATCAATGTAGCAAAAATTAAATGTTGCACCCTGCCCACATTTTAGTGAAGAGAAACTGAGGGAAAATATCAAAATTGCTGAGCTGCCCCTGCAAATTCACATGCATTGGACGTTTCGTGGAAATGGAATCGCACAGTGTGTGTCTTCCTTGACTTTGCACTGTTATTTGTGTTGCAAACTGGATGAAGGCAGGAAGGTGGGCAGCTGCTCACTCTCAGGAGGCTCTTGTCATGGTAGAGCCACCATCTTGGATAAGTGCTCACCGCTGTTTCCTCTTGATTCTGTCCCCAGATTTCCTAGTGTGCTGTTTGCAAATAGGAAACGGTAGGCCTCATTGTATGATTGTCAGGACACACTACCCGAATAAGCCAGAACGGGGCTCAGTTCATATACCACATACTTTCATCTTTGCGTTCAACTTGGTTCCCTGTTTCTGCACTCTCTTTTTTCCTTGAATACTCACTTATCTTGAATTGTGTGTGTCTGTGTGTGGCTAGGTGTGTGTGAGGATTCCTGAGGATGCAAAGGGAGGTCACCGGGTGGGGGAACTGTAAGGATGACTCCACAGTATGAACCCTGGCTGCTCTTGTGGAGGGGGTGGGATCCAAACTGGATTCCTAGAACTCACATGATAACTTAGGATCACGTGCTTCTCCAGTTCCAGGGGGATCTGATGCCTCTTATGACCTCTATGGATACCAGGCACTCTTGTGTTACACATGTGTGTATGTAAGCAAACCCTCATACACGTGAAATAAAAATAAATCTTCATAAATAAACATGGGCCCTGGGTGCCCTGGAGTCAGGGTTATAGGTGGGTGGATGGCACCTTACATGGTTGTTGAGCTCACTTCCTTTGTAAGAGCAAGTTAACTTCCCTTCACAGGTGAGACACCTCTCTGTAGAGTGTAGTCATCCTTGCCAGTCGCCTGGGCCCTGCTGCACTGTCTGAACCCCCAAATAACACACAGGACGCTATATTAATTATGAAGCGGTTGGCCGTTTGCTTGTTTCTTACTGGCTATCTCTGACTTAAGTATTTAACCCATAATTGTTAATCTAAGTATTTCTCTTACCAGAGAAAAGGATCCAGGCCTCTTACTCCTCTAGCTGCCTACATGGTGTCTCCCTGTTTCTTTCCCAGAATCCTCCTAGACTCCTAGTCCCATCTATCTTTCTTCCCTATTGGCCAACAGTGCTTTATTCAATAAACAATAAGAGACAGATTTACAGAATGACATCTCCCATCATCTCTTATTTATCTAAATAAAAAGAAAGGTTTTAACTTTAACTTAGTCAAATTATATATAACATCAACAGTCATCAAGTAAGAACCATAGTTACAATATTTTGTCCATTAACATTTAGTAAGAATTAAAGAAATTATTTTATCATCTATCCTATCTGTGTGAGTCTCAAGTCTTATATGTAGCTAAACTTTTATCATAACTAAGGAAAACTATGATTATAACCATCTGTCTTCAACTCCATCAAAGACCACATAAGGATAATATATAAACACTAAAATTGACATAGACATCTCACTACCTGGACAGTCACCCAAAGTTCCTCTGTAATGTTGGGGCATCTATCTTCAGCTCATAGGCCACAATGTGTCTGGAAGACTTCTCAGCAAAGCAGGAAATTTCAAAATGTCCATCTGCATTGGCAGTCAGTCATTTTTCTGTGTCCTGCAGAAAGTCTGGGAGACTCTTCCATGAAGCAGGAACCCTGTAGGACTGTTTGAGTTCAGCAATCACTTTCCTGTGGGTCCTTCATGTGAAGTTTATACAGCAACAGTGAAACAGTCTAGGCAAGAGCACCCCAAGAGCACTGGGCTACAGCTTCAGTCTCTGTGAGTATCTCTTATAATCCAAGCCAATAAAACTACTACCTTTACTCATGAACGTTGCAAAAGTTGTCCACAGAGAATTTGAAAAGAAGATTACACCGAAGAAAATAAGAATCATCTGCCATTCTGCCACCTACACTAAGCTAGTATGGGTTTTCTGCGTTTTCAGCTTCAGTCAAAGTATTGAACCTCTCTAATATTTGAGGAAGAAAACTCGTTGTAGATAAGAACAAATCTCCTGGTGTTTGACAAATTTATTAAAATTAAATTAAGGTTACACCGTCTGAAGGATTTGTATCTTTGCCACTCTAATAAACATCAAAGAAAGTATATTTTTCTATATTTTGGAATATTTTCTTTAAAGCATTTTTTTATATCAGCACAGGAGCCTGGCAGGGTCTTTCACCCCAGTGCCCAGGAAGCATTGGCAGGCAGCTATCCAGGAGACTGAGGCCAGCTGGTTTACAGAGAGAGAGTTCCAGGCCAGTCAAAGCTACACTGTGAGACCTTGTCTCAAAAGAAAACCCTCATGTGAATTGTGGCTGATTTTTGTTGTTTCCTGATTGTTTTTTTAATTTTAACTAGTTATTGTTATAATAATTTATTGGTGTTTAGTATTCTCCACAAGAACCACAGTCTATTCAACAAAAGCTCTAGTACTAGTACTAGGCATGAGAAAACTTCTTTTCAATTGTTGGTCAGGGAACTTCAAGAAAGCTCCCAAGCAACACTGGCGATTGCAATTGTTCTTTATTGCTTTCTAGAATTTGAAGGTGAAGTGATGCTGTTAATGACACCAGACACTTCAACACAGGACTTTGAGGAATTAAGTTAGAGCTGACCCGGACGCCTCCTCCCTGAGGACTAACTCTCACGGTACTGGAATGTGCTATGACGTCTGCCAAAGGAGAACGACAATCAATAGTCCCAGCCACCTGTAAAGCCAAAGGACTGGCGCAGGAAGACAGGTCAATGGTGCAAAAAATGTGGTACTTATATATGGGTGGTCAACAATGGCTGTCTAATTGGGCTTCAGGCCCACTCAAGAGGAAGGGACGCGTGCTTGGTGCCGTAAAACTCAGCCGTTTGCCCGTAGCTAGTGAGACCATGGAACCTAGAGGAGAACCTGCTACTGCTAACCCTGAAACCAATAGAATTCCTAACTTTATTCTTGATACTTATCATGATTCCCGTAGACAAATTTCATTCTCATTTCTCAGCAAAGTTGTTTTTCTTTTTTTAGCAAAGAGGACCATCACAGAGCTGAAACTGATGTAGCTGCAGAGAATAACTGACTATGGGATGCTCAGCCCCAGATCATACGTCTACAACACAACTCCTGTATCTAAGGCTCATGGAACACCACAGAAGAGGAAGGGAAAAAGATTTAAGAGCCAGAAGATCAGGATGTCTTCTGGGAGATTGAGTCTTCTATTATGACAGGGAAGTGGTATACACAAAACCCCCATAATCTGGCAGCCTAGACCAGTCCTTAACAATGACAAAGCAGTTGTCCTGCCGCTGTGGATGGGGACGTCTCATAGGGCCATAAACCTGAATGAAGAACTATAGGAAGTGAGTGATTGCTGCGAGTTGGAGACCAGTGTTCCCTAGGAATGAGTCGATGATGGGGGAAGTCCTTCTGTGTATATGTAAATAAAGCTCTGTTGGACAATAGGGAAGCAAGATAGGTGGGACTAGGAGTCGAGGAGGATTGTGGGAAAGAGAGGCACAGTCAGTCACGATGTAGCCCTCCAGAAGACTAAGAGGTCCGGACCCTTTTCTCTGGTAATAGAAATACTTAGATTAACAATTATGTGTTAAATACTTAAATCAGAAGTAGTCATTAAGAAACCAAATGGCCAACAGCTTCATAATTAATATAGTGTTCTGTGTGTTATTTGGGGGCTAAAGCAGCAACAGGACCCAGGCAGCATCCTGCAACAGGAGTCCAGGAGGATTCTGGGAAATGTAGTGAAGAGAGTTGTTGTCATGTGATCTCCCAGGAGGAAAAGACGCATCAGAGGCCGTCCTTGGAAAGACAAGTCCTTATAAAAATATATATTAGTAATTATGGATCAATAATTAAGTCAGAGCTAGCCAATGAGAAACCATAGCAAACGGACAACAGCTTCGTAATTAATATAGTGTCTCGTGTGTTATGTGGGGACTATAGCGGCAACAGGACCCAGGCAGCTGGTGGGAAGACTACACGTTACAAGTCACCTATGTGGTTATGCAATAACCACTCAGTCAGTCTACAGACATGCATATCCATATGAGCAGTAGTTATCCAATAATCACCTAGTCAGTCTACAGACATGTATATCTATATGAGCAACACAGTATGGACTCAGCAGGTTGCATTTATATGTTTAAATGCATGCTCACATGTAATAATTATAATTAAAGAAAACACTAGAGATAGTGAATGAAAGTAGAAGGAGGACTTGGGAGCAGAGGGAGGCAAACAGCAGGATGAGGAAGCAGACTTTAATAGTAGGAGACTGAAGATGACCTAAGTCATGTGCGAAATGTCATAATGAAGCCTGTCAGCTTGTACAATTAATAGATGCCAGTCAAAATGAAAAAGGTAAAAAAAAAAGACCTGCATGTGAATTGTGACTTGTTTTTGTTTTCCATGTTTCACTATTAAATAATTTATGCTATATCAAAAATACATTGAGTAAGATGTTAGATGATCTTTGAAACAGTATACGGGCAGTGGTGGTGCACTCCTTTAATCCCAGCACTCAGGAGGCAGTGGCAGGTAGATCTCTGTGAGTTCAAGGCCAGCCTGGTCTACAGATCGAGTTCCAAGACAGCCTCCAAAATAATACAGAGAAACCCTGTCTCGAGAAACAAAACAAACCAAACAAAAAGAAACAGTATAGAAGCGAAGTCCTGGAAGATATCACTTTAAGAAAAGAAACCAAGACAACCTATTTCTTAGGGATATTCATACGTATTGCTGAATTACCTGTAAAATATGATGCCAATTTATATTTGGACCAGGTTTGATTGGGAATGGTCAGTTTTGCATTTCTTTCGAAATAATGCTATTGTAATTGTTAACAGTTTTTAGCTACTTCCATAAGCAACAATAGCACCTTTGACTGTTTGCAAAATTGATTATTTTTTGCAGGTTTAGGCTCATCGTCTGTATTGTTTGGGACTTGACTATTTCCCTTTTCTTGTCATTAGAGGGTCTTTGGTGAGTCTTAGATCTTAAGTTAAAATTTTGTACACCTACTATCATGGGAATGAGTAATTTTCTGGGTCTCTGGCCAATTTTCCAGCTCATAAGAATTTGGCTTCAGCTGTTATCATGAAATAATCACGTAGGTATTTAGCGTGGTTCAGGCTTCATATCATACATTAGTTACCCTTAATATATGAACTTCCTGCCACTCCTGTTTGGAAGGGCTTCTGTTTCTCCCCCCAAGGCCATGCCATTTATTGTTCAAGATTAATAATCAAGTTTCTGCCTTCTAAACTCTAAGGCCTAGCACAGGCTTTGTAGAGTCATCCTTAGAAAAACCATATGATAAATGGACAACTGAGAGAGTTAAAAAAAAAACTCAGCTGTTGGGATGGTTCCAACAGTAGAGTGTTTGTCACGGAAGCATGAGTTTGATTTCAAGAGTCTACATAAAAACCCAGGTGTGGTGACATTGGCCTGTAATCCCAGAGCTGAGAGGGAGTACAGGTGGGTCCCTGGGGTTCACCGGCTAGCCAGCCTAGCCCACCAGCAAGCCAACAGTACCAGCGGGAAACCTTGTCTCACAAAGCAGAATTGTCTCTGTGGGCGAAGTGCCTGCCCTGAGGCCCTACATTTGAAACCCCAAGCTCATGAAAAACCTAGATGTGAGGGCATGTTCCCATAGCTCCAGCGCTGGCTCAGCAGACTGCCCAGCCAAACTGACTTGCTTTAGATTTAGTGAGAGATCTTGTCCCCAACAATAAGGGTGGTGAGCCTGGCCTGAGCAGTAACCTGTGTCCTTGACTAATGCAGAGGGATGCGTGTGTGTGTGTGTGTGTGTGTGTGTGTGTGTGTGTGTGTGTGTGTGTGTGGTTTTCTGTGTCAACTTTAATCCTTGCTGACTCTAAAAGTCAAACCAAATCAAACAAAACCATAAAGCATCCAAGCCCTGACAGGCGTTCCCAGGGCTCCTCTATCTCGCTTCAATTCTTTTCTATATCTCCATTTCTTTGCCCCTCCCCCCCCGTCAAGTGTTTTCTGTTACTTTGACTGACACAGAACTATCTTCTTATTACTACACCGAATCTCAGACACGGCTTCGGCGGCCACATGAGTGCAGCATGTTTCTTTTACCTCACTGCAAACTCTTCGCACTGTGGTCACCAAGTTTTCAGAGCCTCGGTTTTGTTCCTGAGGCCGTCGAACTGAGTTCTGACTCATTGGGAATGCCTTCCAAAGGTACTTCTTTTTCTCTCAACATCCTATCTGAAGCAGAGGTCTCTATATCCCGGCATCTCTTGGATCATTCAGGAGACTCTCTACTTCTTAGGGTCCAAGCTGTGAAGAGTCCTATACACAGGAAGTGCTCTGTAAAAGTCCCCTGGGGTGGCCGCATCTTACCTCACCTCATGCCTTTTGTAATAACACATTCATCTCCACTCCTACGTCCTCTTCACCGCAGCAGGCTGCATTTGCTAGCATTGCTATGTGCCAGGGACTAACCCTTTTTGAGATTATTATCTGATGACAGCAGCTGGATGAAACTTTGTTTTCCTTTAAAATAACTTACTTTGAACTTCTAGATCCCGTTGTCACGGGACTGTAAAAGCTTTGTCCTAAGTACACCAAGGGTTTTCTTCTTTGGGACTGTTGCAAAGTTTTGGGGGTGTGACAGAAACCACACTACATGCAGCTCAACTTCCCTCCAACTTAAGGAAAATTTCCTTCATTTTTGAGATTACATTTCCCTTCTCTTTCTTCTCTCCAAAGCCTCCCATTCCTTGCCCATTTTCCAGTTTATGACCTCTTTTTCTGTTAATCATTGCAGTGATTTTGTGTGTATGTATGTGCATGACGTGTGTGTGTGTGTGTGTGTGTGTGTGTATGTGTGTGTGTGTGTGTGTTTGGCCCCTTTTCATTTTCTGTAGATATCTCTAGACTCTTAAGACACACATTTGACTAGGCATCCTTTAATTTATTCACTTGCAAATTGAGTTGAGCCAGGCAAGGTGGCTCATGCCTTTAATCTCATCAATGAGGAAATGAAGGCAGGCAAATCTCTGTGAGTTCTGGTTTGCACAGCAAGTTCCAGGTCAGCCAGGACTACATTTAAAAAATTTCAAAAATAAGATAGTTATGAATTTGAATTCTGGTTTTCCTTTCCTTCCTAGGTTTTAATATTGCCTGTCTTCTCATGATATACACTTTTAAGTACAGGAACAAGCATAATGTATCTATTTCTTGTATTAAAACCTTGAGTCCTACCTGTATTTAGCATATTCTACATGATGTAAACATTAAACTGCTCAGTCTGTATGTCACTTGTATGTATGCTTTCAAGGCATTTGATATTAGAAAAGGGAGGTTCCTACAACTTTCTTATCTGCAGAATCTTGAAATTATGTTAAAAGCAAATTATATTCTAGATATGTCCTTTCTGGACAGCCTTGCAGCTGGTATAACAGGCACTAGCCGGTGGTATACATTTCCATTTCCTGGAACTCTCCAGGAAAGCTTAACTTTCAGTTGACCTGATGCTGGCTCCTCTTCATGCTTCCTGTGTCAATTGTAGATATGTTTGTCTTGGGGTTATTGTTGCTGTGATGAAACACCATGACCACAGCAGCTCAGGGAGGAGAGGGTTTACTTGGCTCACACTTCCACATCATAGTTCATCATTGAAGAAGTCAGGACAGGAACTCACGCAGGGCAGGATCCTGGAGTCAGGAGCTGATGCAGAGGCCATGGAGGATGCTGCTTACTGCCTTGCTCCCATGGCTCGCTCGCCCTGCTTTCTCACAGAACCCAGGACCACCAGCCCAGGGATGGCCCCACCCATAGCAGACTGGGCCCTCGCCCATCAATCTAATGAAGAAAATGCCTTACAATCTTCCTCACAGCCAGATCTTATGGCGGCATTTTCTTAATCTTGGATGACTCTACCTGTGTCGACATAAAACTAGACAGACATATACAGATATAGATTCCTGGAGCAAAGGCCGCATTCTAATGACAATGCAGGAAATTCCAACTATCTAACACACTGCTAAACCGATGTGGGGAATCATTTGCCCCTTGGACTTTTATCACAGTAGAAAAGTTGTTGCTGATTTTTAAAGCTACTCATAGCTGAATGTATTCTTAAGTGACACAGGTGAGTAACAGAGGGCCTGATGTGTGATGATGCTGTCTGTTACACTGTCCCATTATCTTCATCCCAATCCCATGTAGACCCTCCCTGAGGTCCGCTGTTTTAAGCCTGTAGCTTCCATCGTGAATATAAACATGTGGCATTCTTTGGTGGCTGCTTATGACTCCGGGTGAGTTATTCCAGCGTTACCCCTCATCTAACCACAGCTTCAGGAGGCATGACTCGTGAGACTTCTCCCCACAGTGACCGTGGGCATGCTCTTACGGCTTTCACCCATGGAGCACAGGCAAACACTACCAGCAGCGGCTCAGTAAAATGCCTGTACAGTGGGACCGGTCTTCTTGGAATGTTTCCAGCCGCT